GTGGAAGGAAGGCAGGAAGAATGGCCGGAGAAGGAAAACAAGAGTGACTTAGAAGCTCTTGCGTTTGTGGACAGGTCCTCTGTGCACTTAGAGACTAGAAAGTCAGAAAACAAAGCAACCTGTCTTTGGAAGAATTCTCACTAGAGTTGGGAGAGGAAGGGGCAGTATGAGGAGCTAAGGGAACGTGATGTGAGAACTAGCCGGGTCTCACTCAACACCCCCGCCCTCCATCTTTTCCATGCCTTTGAGCAAGCCCCAGGACCCCTCTGAGTCTCCGTGTCCTCGTCTGTGAAATGGGAAGAGTAACCGCTGACTGGATGACCACACGTGCATCCCATGTGAAAGTGCCCGGAGGTGGTGAGAGTCGTCATGGCCGCTGTGATGCTGCTGCTAATGGCAGGGAGGGGGTGTGGGAAACCGTAGATAGGAAAGGAAAGGAAAGGAAAGAGCAAGCAGGGAAGCATGTCAGAAAGTTGGTGGTGCCGGGAAAGGCCAAAAACCAGACAGGAGTCATTTTCCAAACTTTCCAAGGAAAACTGAGCCTTCAGATCCCCCCACACCTCCCACCCCCAAATCGTTTGTAGCTCTATTATTAACCAGCCATGAATAATTAGTTACCTGGAACAGAACAAATTTGGCTCCCATGTTCTGCTCAGCCAGGTGCAGCTTGGCTTGCCGGAAAAGGATGGCCAGGCACCAGAGAGCCAACAGGGTGGACACGCCGAGCAGAGTGTTGATCCAGAGAGCCGTGCTGTGCTCGGAGATCTAGCAGCGGACCAGAAAGTGGTCAGTGAGGGAGGCACACCTGTCTCTTGTGATTTCTCCGTGTCTGTGGGGGGAGGGTGGTAGGAAGGGCCCAGCGCCATAGCCATAGCTCCCCCCACCTCCATCTCTACCCCACGGCCGCTGTGTCTCTGGGACCCCATGCCAGGGCATGATGGCTGCAGCTATTCCTTTTTGAGCTCATGGGCACAAAATAAGGCTTGGGCTTTGCCACCTGTATGCCTGGCTTACATCTGATGGGTCAAAGATGCCATCAGGGACAAGGAACAGGCCAGCCACGAACAGCGAGACCCTGAGGAAGGCATACTGGAAGGGGCCCAGCATCAGCAGCTGAAGCTTCTTCCTGAGGGAACAGAGAGTTAGGAGCACAGACCCACAAACCCACAAAGCACTTGCCCCAAGAAGACCCCCCAACTCCCTCACTGACTCCTGGGCTGAGGTGTGGCATCTGCCATGGCCACTGACAGCATTGCATGGAGCACACACAGCAGCCGGCATGCTGAGGGACCTGAGAGGCACCTTTTTTTGCTTCCCATTCATTCCCAACTGCTACCTTTCACACGACTTGCTCTTAATGGTAGAGTAGCTAAGGCAAACGGTAGGGATAATGACAGCAAAGAGCTGAGCAGAATATTCTCAAAGGGCAGCTCGAGAAGACAAAGCCAAATATGATATTGAAATGTGCAAAGGTCTAGAGTTAAAAAACCAAAAGGGAAGAACACGCTCAACATGACTGAAACTAAAGAACGGAAGGAAAAAACTCAAGTTGCAATATTGAAAGATTCTATGGATGAAATATTGAATTCAGGAAGCATCAAAAGAAGATGGAAAGAGCACACAGTCACTGTAACACAAAGAACTAGTCGACATTCAGGTAAACAAGCAGCCATCTAGCTCAGAAGCAACAAAGCCCACATGGAGGAACATATCAACCTGTGTGATCACGGGGTGTCGAACGGATCACTGAAGACAAATGGGTGCATAAGCAAATGTGGCGAAGAAAGCTGATGGTGCCCAGCTATCAAAAAGTATAGCATCTGGGGTCTTAAAGGCTTGAAGGTAAACAAGCGGCCATCAAGCTCAGAAGCAACAAAGCCCACATGGAAGAAGCACACCAGCCTATGCAACCACGAGGTGTTGAAGGGATCAGGTATAAGGCATCATCAGAACAAAAATCTTACCATAGTGAATGATGGGGGGAGTGCGGAGTGGAGATCCAAAGCCCATTAGTAGGCCACTGGAGATCCCCTTGCAGAGGGGTCTCGGGGAGGAGATGAGCCAGTCAGGGTGTGATGTAACAACGATGAAAAATACAACTTTCCTCTAGTTCCTAAATGTTTCCTCCCCGCTCCCACTACCATGACTCGAATTCGACCTTGCAAGTCTGGCTAGACCAGAGGATATACACTGGTACAGATAGGAACTGAAAATACAAGGAATCCAGGGTGGATGAGCCCTACAGGACCAGTGGTGTGAGTGGCGAAACAGGGAGGGTAAAGGGAGAATGGGTAGGAAAGAGGGAACCGATTACAAGGAACTATATGTGATCTCCTCCCTGGGGGACAGACAACCGAAAAGTGGGTGAAGGGAGACGTCGGACAGGGCAAGATATGACAAAATACCCATTTATAAACTATCAAGGGCTGATGAGGGAGGGGGGAACAGGGAGGGAGGGGAAAAATGAGGACCTAATGCCGGGGGTTTAAGTGGAGAGAAAATGTTTTGAGAATGATGTACAAATGCGCTTTACACAATTGATGTGTGTATGGATTGCGATAACAGTTGTATGAGCCCCTAATAAAATGTTAAAAAAAAAAAAAAGAACTAGTCAACATTCAACCAGTTCCAAAGGTAGTAGATGAGCAAGAATCAATGGTGCTGAATGGTGCTTTCCTCCAAAAGAAGTTTAAGCTGCATTAGCACAAACAAGGCTCCAGGAATTGGTGGAATACCAGCAGAAATATTTCAACAAGCAGGTGAAGCACTGGGAGCACGCATTGGCCTATACCAGGAAACTTGGAAGATGGACAGCTATTTGGCCAACACTGGACGAGATCCTTATTTGTACCCATTTCAAATAAAGGTAACCCAACAGAGTGCTCAGATTGTAGAACAATATCATTAAGGTCACATGCATATGCACTTGAAGAAAGAAAAATCAATGCACTTGAACTGTGGTGTCGGTGCAGAAGATTGAAAGTTCCACGGACTCTCAAGAGAACCCATGGATCTGTGCTGGAAGAGGTCCAGCCAGAATGCTCCTTAGAGGCCAGGGTGGTGAGGTTTCGCCTCACATATGTTGTCTGCTTTATCAGGAGAAACCGGTCCCTGGAGAAGGACATCATGCTTGGTAAAGTGGAGGGGAGGTACGAAGAGGAAGGTCTTTGATGAGCTTGACAGAGTGGCTGCAACAATGGACTCAAAACATAGGAACAATTTTGAGGCTGGGCCAAGTGGTGTTTCCGTCTGTGGACCATAGGGTCGCTATGAGTTGGAACCAACTCTAAGGCATCTACTAACAACAACAACAACAACAACAACAACACCCTTCAAGCAAATCATTTTCAATGTTGTTGACCCCAGCTTCATTAACCCAATGGGCAGAAGGGGCAAGGCTATGGGGCAGGGGTATGTGTCTTGTTGGTTCTGTGTGGCTAAAATTTGCAGAGAGCTTAAGTGATAGAAATGTCGACCTTCCCCTGCCTCTGCCTCCCCTCATCCCTGGGATAAGCCCTAGGGGGGTCCTTTCTCCCACGAAGGTAGAAATCCAGGGGAAGGGATGCCCGCGGTCATCAGGGTTCCACACAAGCCGGATTCCTAGCGCTCTGAGGCAGAGCCGAGAGAACAGAGAGGCTAACCAGTGCCCTGAAGGATGCCCCTCCATCCCGTCTGACCTGGTGAGCATGAGGTGTGGGCAGCAGGGGCAGCAGCAGCAGCAGGGACCCGTGTGGATCCTCATGGGTGTCGTCTCCAGGGTCCTCAGCACGGCCTGCTTCCCACCAAAGCCTTCCACCATGAGCTGCATCAGCAAGTAAAAGCACACCGAGTAGAACCTGGGTGGGGTGGGGTGGGCAGGGAACAGAGCAGGGTGAGCTGACGAGTCAGCCAGCCCGCAGAGGAGCCACCCATCTGCTGCCCAAGAAAGAGGAGCTGCGAGGGAGAGCGGGGCTTGTTGAGGGGAAGCCGGGAGAATCTGTCCCCAAGGCGTTCCGACTGCCCCTGAGGAGTGGAGGACAGGCCCCAGAGGTGAGGCCGGAGGGGAGCTTCAGGCTGTAGGAACAGAGGCAACTGAGGAAGGTGCCCACCAGAGGCACTGTGAACAGAACAGACTGCCATGGATTGGGAAGGGCAAGGTTCCTGACCAGTTGGCTGGTGGGGAGTCAAGGTTCAGATGTCAACAGGGCGGCTTCCAGGATGAGTGAGGGGCCGAAGAGGGGCCCGGGGAGACACCGGCCCGGAACTGGGGGTCAGGGTGGGGGGGCAGCACACTCACGAGGTGATGGCCATTTCCACGAGCATCAGGGAGCGAGGGACCCAGAGGCCGAAGCAGCAGAAGACGGACACCACCTACTTGGGGAGGAGGGCAGCTGTGAGGGCAGAGGGGCCTGGGCACGTGCCCTTCCAAGGGCTTTCAGAAAAGGGCTCCCGGAGGTAAAATCTAAACATGAAAACTTACCATCTGGGAAAACCGTTTTGTTTCGTGGTGGAAAAGGCACTCCTTTAGCCTGGCTCAGTCTGTTGCCTGACCAACCTCCAAGGTCTCCACCCTGGTCGGCACGCCACCCTCTCCCACGCTGATCAACCTCGGCCCCCAAGCAGCTCCCTCGGCAACCTCAGAGCCCTGCCCTCCACCTGGTATCTCTGACGCCCCACTCCTGCTCGGCCTCCAGGCCTCCTCTAGAAGGTCAGGTGCCCCCGGAGTCCGCCTCTGAACCCCCATGGCCATCCTGCTCCCCCATTGTTGCTGCATGCCGCTTTCATTCTGTTCCACACGGGTGGTTTCCAATTCCACTGTGCTTTTCAGGAGGCTTGGGGCTGGGGCTGTTATGCTCTTGGTTTATGTGTCCAGTCGAGGCTGTCTGCTACCGTTGACATTTGCGGTCCTGGCAACTCCACGCATGGCACAGCGGCACAGCGGGTCTCTCAGGTAGGCTCACTCTGAGTGGGCATTGGCTTGAGGCAGTAGGTTAATCCACCTAGGTTAATCTGTGTCTGCTCTCTAGTGAGTGATTTACCTCCCTCCCTCCTCCTGGTAGCCAAAGGATGTTTCTTGTCATGAGAAAGCTCTCTCGAGTTTCGATAATAGTGATTGCAAACTATTTGTTTGAAATAAGTCGATGTTAAAATGCTTTGTAACTAATGTGCTTCACACGATGGATGGATGGATGGATGGATGGATAGAGTGTAATAAGAGTTGTATGAGCACCCGATAAAATGATTTTTTTTAAATTGCTTTGTAATTCCAGTCATTGGTAATTCTTTCTCAAGGGTTTGCAACAAACTCCCGGAGTCAGGGGCTTTCTTGAAGTCTCTCCCTGGCTGTACCCCTGGGGAGAGAGGAGCTAAGTTTCTCCTTAGGAATAAATGCCTCAGGTCCGACGCCTTCCTTCTCTTAGCCCCGTGTTATTAGAAGCTCTGCCACGATGCGGCTGGCCCGGGCAGATGTCATCAGGCAGGGAAGGACCTCGCGTGCTCCACTCTCCCCCCAAACAGATACACAGAGCTCATTTCAAGGGAACAGAAGTCCCCCCACCCCCACCCCCATCTGATGTCCCAGGAGCAATCAAAAGACCTGCAGAATGGTTATGGGAGCGAGTTTTGAGGAAGCGTAAGGGGTAGAGGTGAGTTTAGCCTGTAAGGAAAAAAGTGATTTCCCTCCCACACTAAGCAACTACTGCCTCCTGCACAGGGAAGGGGCTTCCTTTCAGCAGCAGTCCCGTGGTGGGCGGTTGGGTCACTGAAGGGGGAGTGGGCCCTCCCGCTCTCTCTGAAGGCTCTCAGCATTAGAGCGCTCCTTCCAATCAGCCAGCCTTTTCTGATGTGATGGCTGAGTTTCAAATGGTCCCTAACTCCTCGGCAGTCCCTCCCACAGGGCAGCTCCAGGGTCCTCACCGTGGGTGCAGAGCTACTCCAGAGCAGAGTCCTCCTCTTGATGGGACACCGGGTGTTCTTGTACAGGTAGACGGCGTCCTCCAGGTAGATGGCGATGGAGCCCAGCGTGAGCAGGGTCATGATGACCGTAAGGGCCATTTCTATAGGGCCCGAAGCTGTGGAGAAGAGGGCAGACTCCAGTGAGCTGAAGAGCCAGCCGGGGCAGAGAGACGGGGCCTCCTCACTCGCCACCACGCCTGGGATGATCTGACCTGGGCTCCACTCCACTCCAAAGCCTGACCGTTTCTTCGCCCCCAAGTACCCAGCATGTAACTCGGAAATAGTCATTCTGCTACATGGATGGTTAATTCAAGGTATGGCAAGGCACCAGACACGTTTTCATACTTAGTCACAGTTTTGAATGAGATTGGCAGGGCCCATTCACTCTTCTTCTACCTCCGGGGTCACTTGGCAATTGCAATTGAAACAGAATGTAACTAATGGTATTCTGGAGCACCGTTTGACATCCCCGGCACGTCCTGACGCGTCCACACTAGAGAGATGGCTACAAATAAAGGCACGATACGTCTGACCTGAGCTGCCCTCACCTCTGGCCCCACATTACGTGGAATCCAGTGGGCCTCAGACCCTCGGGTTAGGACAGTCACTCGGGAAATGGTTAAACATCACACGTCCAGCAACCCTGCTTCAAGAGACTTGGGATGGGCACAGTAATCTGCAATTTAACAAGCTCACCGAAGACACTGGGGGTCAGAAGGTCACAGTGGGACAAACACCAGTGAGGAGCCTTAGGCATAGCCTTGTTAACAGAACATTGGATAGTGTCGTACAGCAGGTTTCGGAACACGTGAGTTACGCCTGCAACAATTCATTTGAAACAAAGGGTTTGGGTGCTTAGCGACAAAGCCCCTGGACTCACTTAAACGCCTTCCCGAGTCAGCTCCTGGGGGAGAAGCCTGTCCTCACCCTGTCCTTCATTCACGGACAGTGTGTGGGGACACCTGCCCCAGGCCCAGAGACACGGACGCAGGGAGAAAGTGATTGGGCTGAACTGAAGCTGGTCAGGGCCCTGCTTCCCCGCACGTCCCCTCTCCGGAGGTCAGCAGCTGCCCCCTGCAATGAGGAGACCGAAGAACAGTGCCTGGAATGCCTGACTCCCTGAGAACTGGTCAGCCTGCCTGCCAGAGCTGATCAACGACATCCTGGGCCATGACCCCCCCTCTCCCCGCTTTCCTTTAAAAACCCTGGACCCCAGACAAAGCCCACAATTCCCCTGGGCTACTTGCCCACCCAGGAGCTCCGCCCTAATAAAGCTATTTCTGTTTCTGCTTTCCTTTTATCTTTGTCAGTTATCTTTATCCGTCTCTGTGCCTCGGTTTACCTCTCAGATAGGAGACCAACCACAGAGGAGACGGTGTTGTCCTCTGGGTCAGTCATCCCTAGCGGCACCCGGAAGGGCAATCGGGTCAGATGGGCACGTGTGTCCTGGTGGAACTTGTTTCAGGCACATGTCTGTCTCCACTTTAGCCAAAGGAGACCACCTGCCTCTAACCACCAGTCAGGTCCAGCCTGAGAACTCGCCAAGGAGCTGGGGATTGTGGAACTTCGGTTCCTAATCAGCACTTCAGGATCAGTGACACACAGACTGTAAAAGATGGACCATGCTGTTTCTCATCTTCCCTCCTCCACCCCTCCTCCTCCTAGTTAGGCCACAGCCCGGGGGTGACTAAATTGCTGGCGTGGCATTCCTGCTACTGTTCAGCTCCACCTGCCTTTCTCAATGACCTCCAGCTACTGCTCCAGTCGGCCCTGCGTTCACATGCAAAACTGGGTATGGTCGACATTACCGGGGACTTTTTACACAATGCTACCCTTATACCCCCCATGCCCTGGGTCTTTCACACAAGCATGAACATCCACATACAATGTGCCATAATCAAGATAATTCCAGATGGGCTAAAGAGATAAGTACTTCAAAACCAGACAGAGAAAATTCCATTGCAAGGGGTGGGGGGTGGGGATGGAGTGAGAGGGTGGGGGCGGAGGTAGAAAGACAGAAGGATTCTAATTCACAATGAACTTAAAATGAAAATTAACTTTAAAAAAGTATTTATAAACCAAACAGGGAAAACTAGAAAGAAGGGAAGAGCATTTGCATGTCTAAGCTTTAGACGTAATAGAGAGAAATGGTCAAGATGACATGAAAATGTAAAACTTCTGAATGCTTGAAAAAACTGGACAGTGGGGGGCAGGCAATAGGTTGGGTAAATTTGCACTCAAGTCTAAGATGTTTCCTACAAAAAGAAAACTGAGAACCAAAACGTGCAGCTCTTGTGACGAAGAGGAAAATGACAGTTCGAGAGGGCGGGACCGCAGGGAAATAGCCAGCCAGCCTCGTAGCCCGACAGAAGCAGAAGGCCGTCCGATGACGTTTGGCCTGTGACAAGATCAAACCGCATGCTGGCGCAGGTGAGGCGAAACAGGCCCTGCCCTTCTTCCTGGTAGAGATGGCAATTGCACAACCCATTGGGAGCCCCATTTCATGCCACTTGTCAAGAGCCTTTGGCCTGGTAACTCTACTCCTGGGATTCTATTTCTAAACCATCAAAGCACAAAGCTCCATATAAAAATGTGTATAATATTGTTGTGGTTGTTGTTAGGTACCTTTGCATCTGTTCCAACTCCTAGTGACCTTTATATGCAAACAGAACAAAGCACTGTCCAGT